GCCATCACGATGAGACTGAGGCGTAATGTGCGTTGGTGGGCCAAGGTCAGTGTGGCAGCCTTCCTATTCCTGCTTGGGACATACCTGACTGTACGCCAGGCTCAGCAAGATGCTTCTCTTGGGGACAAGCGGGTGGTCAGGGTTCAGGAGGACGAAGGGAGTGAGTCTGACTCAGGGAAGAACCCAGGGTCAAGGGCGAGAAAAGACGTGGAGCAAGGTAAGTGTCTGTGGAAATAAGTTGGTAAGTTCCTTAGATAGAGGAAGACATGTTGGAGAACCAGATAGACCATTTTCATTCCAGAATTGAAGCGATTCCTCTTGGAATATTTATGATAAAGATAGTAATAATACATATTGAGGGTTTCTCGTAGACGTGTAAATTGATATTGATGATAATGATAAATGAAGACTTTTTAGAATTTTGAAGTGTAAGGAAAATAGTCATATAGAATATTGGCAGTTAAGCCATTGATTGGGGGTACATGCGCTGTCTGCTGTGGTTTTGCTTTACTAATCTTGGTTTTGCATAGAAAGGTCCACAAGTCCTTAATTTCTCGTCAGTTATTGGGGAGTTACTTGGCATACCTTGTCAAATCTGAATTCTCTGTTCCTTAAAATTTTGAGAAAGGTAGTTCATTTCATTATTGTTGCTGATGTTACAAACATTGTTGTTTTTCTTGTTATTATTGTATTGTCTGTGTTTATCATTATTATTATGATTATATCATTATTTTTATTATTATAATGGTAATGATTATCATTATTTTTATTATTGTTATTGTTATTATTATTATCATTATTATTATATTATTATTATTATTATTATTATTATTGTTATTAATATTGTTATAATTGGTATATTCAAGGTAAAAAGACTAAATAAAAGCAAAATCATAGGGGACACTTCATGCATAATGCACTCCTGGTGTCATTGTTCAGTAGAGTAAGGTACAGTTGTTTTATAATATAATTTTATATTCTGTTGTTGCCTACAATATGAAGTTTTTCTGACAAGTTTCCCTCCCTATTTTTTTATTGTCTTCATCTCACACCCCTTACCCCCCAGACAAGCTTCCTGAACCCCCAGGCTACAAGGATTGGAACAACTATGAGCTGCTAGAGCGAGAGAAGAGCCAGGTTGGCCCGGGAGAGCAAGGTCAGGCATTCATCCTGCCAGCGGGTCACCAAAGCCAGAAGGACCAGCTCTACAAGGTCAATGGTTTCAATGCCCTTGTCTCAGACTACATTGCACTCAACCGAACGCTGAATGACCTCAGGCACCCCAAGTAAGTTACTTCATTAGATCCTTTTTCTTTCTTTTCTTTCTTTCTTTCTTTTCTTTCTTCCTTTCTTTCCATGGTTATGTTCAACTTTGGATTTTGTATTGATAGCCCTACTTTTTTTTACTTTCTTTTGCCTTCTCTCTTGCTTTTGTATATACTTAGAAAAAAAGATCTGGCTTTTGAGAGAGGGACAGTGAGAGGTGTGTGTATGTGTGTGTGTTTAGATGTGTAAATGGTAATAATAGATTTTTATGTTTCTGCTGTCTTATTATATATTAAAGGTGAAAGGTATTGTTTTATTCATATTCAAGTATAGTGAATAGAAAAACAGCCACTCGTACAGGATTTCACAACAAAAAACATAAAAAAAGATACCAGGAACCCCAGAATATAAATAAATGGATCATTCTTCTTCTTGTATGCAGGTGCCAGGAGAAGGTGTACCTGAAGTCACTTCCCACAGCGTCTGTGGTGGTCCCCTTCCACAATGAGCATTGGACAACTCTCCTTCGGACTGCGATATCGGCTATCAACCGTTCACCAGAATCCTTGCTGGCTGAGGTCATCTTGGTGGATGATGCCAGTACTAAAGGTATTGACTAGCTTTCTTTCTGTCTCTTCTTTTTTCCCTTTCTTTCTCTTTCTATCTTTTCCTTCTCCCCCACTTTAAACTTTTTTTTAATGTTCACTACCGGAAAGATGGTACCTCATATGCTCATATCTTAGCCTAACAAGTAACCCTTTTTCAGTGATGTAAAATGCATTATAGCAGACTAGATCCATAGATTAAAATTGGTACCTTCCTTGACTTGTGGTACCTTCCAGCCTATGAACCAGGTTAAACCCATGAATCGTAAATAGAACATTATCGTGTCATGTTTTCATGGGCCAAGTGGATATCATTGCTTGGTAAAATACCCTGTGCCATTGACTTGTCAGAGGGATCTTTATCTTTCTCCAATAGATGCAGCATCCTTTGTTTTGTGCCTTGTAAAGATCCCAGCACCCTAAAGTGAAAGAAAATATATTTTTTTATCATTTGCTTGTAAACTACTGCACTCAAAATGCTTATGGCCCAATTGTGCTCAAAAAGCCAAACGAGCTGGGCTTAAATAGGGAAATTCATGCCAGGCCATTAGCCAATATTCAATAACATAGTTATTAGGGCAAGGTGGTAGTTTATGTAGCATAGAAAATGGAAACAAAAAGAAAGGATT